GGGCGAGGCAGAGGACAGAGCAAGGACATGCACAATGAATATGCCGGCCACGGAGCGCCAAACGCGCCCGGGCAGGCGATTGCCACGACAGCGTCAGAAGTATCATGATTCCGATTCCGACTGATGTCCAGAGGGCCCCAAGACCCCCAAAATGAGCCCCAAGAGGGCCCCGAGAGTGCCCCAAGAGGCCCCACGGCCCCCTTGCAGCCACGGGTGACCTGTTTTGCAAGGGCTGCGCTGGCGTCGATCACCTGCTCACCAGGGCCAGCGGGGAACAGCCGTCAGGCATCGTGCAAACGGTCCAGCGCTGACGCCGGGTGGGCTCCGCTCTAGCCCAAGGGCCCCGCCCGTGAGTAGGGCCCAAACCACGTGGCACCCACGTGCAACATGGCAACCCCACGGAACGGCAATGCACGAACAACCAGCTGGCCGCTGGCGCCACTGCAGCGGGCCAACACTCAGGCCTCACGTCAAGTGGATACAAGGGGGGCAATACCCTGCCAGGCGTGGGCCAGATTGAGGAGAGGATGGGGAAGAGCAGAGGAGAGGCCGAGGAGAAGGAGGGAGAGGAGGACCAGGGGGCGCCGCGAGACTCCCAAAGAAGCCCCCGAGAGGCCTCCAAGAGGCCTCCACATGGATCCCGAACGGCCACCAAGAGGCCCCAAAGAGCCCCCCCAAGAGGCCCACTTGAAGCCCAGCCCAGGCCTGGAGCAACGAGAGCCGTCAGGTGTCACGGCAGTCGAGGGCCCTCTAAGACCCCTACAAGACCGTTGGGAGGAGAGCGGCCACGTGGCGCGGCCCTCGAGGCCGCGGGGAAGCCGACGGTCACCCACGACGGCCTTATCTTCCCCACTCTCTCCTCCTCCTCCTGCTCCTCCTCCTTCTCCTCCTCCTCCTCCTCCTCCTCCTCCTCCTCCTCTCCTCCTCCTCCTCCGCCTCCTCCTCCTCCTCCTCACCTCCTCCTCCTCCTCCTCCTCCTCCTTCCTCCTCTCCTCCTCCTCCTCATCCTCATCCTCATATCATCATCAATCATCATCATCATCATCTCATCATCATCAGCCAGCAGCATCAGCATCATCAGCATCATCATCATCCATCAGCAGCATCATCATCAGCATCATCAGCCATCATCAGCATCAGCATCAGCATCATCATCATCCATCATCATCATCTCATCATCATCATCATCATCATCATCATCATCATCATCATCATCATCATCATCATCATCATCATCATCATCATACTCCTGCTCCCCCTCCACCGCTCCTCCTCCTCCTCCTCCTCCTCCTCCTCCTGGGCATCCTACTCCTCCTCCGCCTCCTCCTCCTTTGCTGCCTCCTCCTTTTCCTCATCCTCCTCCTCCTCATCCCTCCTCCTCCTCCTCCACTTGCTCCTCCTCCTGCAACTCCTCATCCTGCTCCTCCTCCTCCTCCTCCTCCAACTACTAATCCTCCCTTGCCCTCCTCCTCCTCCTCTTCCTCTCCTCCTCCTCCTCCTCCTCCTTCTCCTTTTCCCTCCTCCTCCTCCCTCCTCATCCCTCCTCGTCCTACACTTGCTCCTCCTCCTCCTCCTCCTCCTCCTCCCTCTCCTCCTGCCTCTCCTCCTCCTCCTCCTCCTCCTCCGCCTCCTCCGCCTCATATCCTCCTTTGGCCTCCTCCTCTTCCCTCCTCTTCCTGCTCCTCTTCCTCCTCCACCTCATTCTGCTCCTCCTCCTCCTCCTCCTCCTCCTCCTCCTCCTCCTCATCATCACATCATCGCATCATCATCATCATCATCATCATCATCATCATCATCATCATCATCATCATCATCATCATCATCATCATCATCATCATCATCATCATCATCATCATCATCATCATCATCATCATCATCATCATCATCATCATCATCATCATCATCATCATCATCATCATCATCATCATCGGCATCATCATCATCATCATCAGCATCAGCATCATCATCAGCATCATCATCAGCATAAGCAGCATCATTATCAGCATCATCATCATCATCAGCAGCAGTCTCATCATCGTCATGATCATCAATATCATCAACATCATCCGCGTCACAACCACCACCACCATCATCAGCAGCGACAGCATCAGCATCATCATCATCATCATCATCATCATCATCATCATCATCAGCATCATCATCATCAGCAGCATCATCATCATCAGCATCCTCACTTCATCCTCATCCTCATCATCATCCTCATCCTCATCCCTCCTCCTCCTCCTCCTCCTCCTCCTCCTTCCTCTTCCTCCTCCTCTTCCGCCTCCTCCCTCTTCCTCCTCCTCCTCCTCCTCCTCCTCCTCCTCCTCCTCTTCCTCCTCTTCCTCCTCCTCCTCCTCCACCTCCTCCCCTCCTCCTCCTCTGCCTCCTCCGCTTCCTCCGCCTCCTCCTCCTTTGCCGCCTCCTCCTCTTCCTCCTCCTCCTCCTGCTCCTCCTCCTGCTCATTCTCCTCCTCCTCCTCCCCCTCCTCCTCCTACTC